AATATTAATATTTTTTTACTTTTTAAAAATTAAATATTTATTGTTAAGATTATTCCTCCCCCCCCATAGCTCCTTTTTTATCTGATTCCCAACCCACCATCTCCCCTTATGCACCCTCAGCCTACTCTCCTCATCCATAGGTGTATTATTTTTGTTCAGTCCCTTCCTGCACCCCCACACCCTTTCCCCCTTCTATGTCCCTGATTCTATTATATTCACCAGTTTATTCTGTACCTCATATTTTTAATTCACCTGATTTTTAGATGCACTTGTTGATAGATATGTATTTATTTTTCGTAATTTTTATCTTTACATTTTTATTCTTCTTCCTCTTCTTAAAGAATACCTTTCAGCATTTCATATAATACTGGTCTTGTATTGATGAACTCCTTTAGCTTTTTCTTATCTGTGAAGCTCTTTATCTGACCTTCAATTCTGAATGATAACTTTTCTGGGTAGAGTAATCTTGGTCGTAGGTTCTTGCTATTTATCAATTTGAATATTTCTTGCCACTTCTGTCTGGCCTGCATAGTTTCTGTTGAGATATCAGCTGACAGTCGTATCGGTGCTACCTTGTAGATAATTAACTGTTTTTCTCTTGCTGCTTTTAATATTCTATTTTTCTTTTGCTCTTGGCATTTTAATTATTATGTGTCTTGGTGTGGTTCTCTTTGGATTCTTTTTGTTTGAGGTTCTCTGTGCTTCCTGAACTTGTAAGTCTATTTCTTTCACCAGGTAAGGGACGTTTTCTGTCATTATTTCTTCAAATAGGTTTTCAGTATCCTGCTCTCTCTCTTCTTCTGGCACCCCCATTATTCTGATGTTGGTACACTTGAAGTTGTCCCAGAGGCTTCTTACACTATCTTCAACTTTTTTTTCTTTTTTCTTTCCAGTTGAGTGTTTTTTTCTTCTTTGAATTTCAAAATATTTGACTTGATTTTTGCATTCCTCTAATCTGCTTTTGGGTCTCTGTATAATTAATATATATTAATATAAATTGAAATATATATATATATATATATATATATATATATATATATATATAATATATATATATATATATTTTTAATTTCAGTCAGTGTATGTTTAAATTATAGTTGGTCATTTTTCATATCCTTGAGGGTCTGGCTAAATTTATTGGCCTTTTCTAGGAAATTCTTAAAAAACCTTATAACTATGGTTTTGAACTCTATATCCAGATGTTCGTTTTCCTCCATTTCTTTCATTTGTGGTCTGTTACTTTGTCTCCATATTTTATCTGCTTCCCTGAGTTGGTAGGGTAGCTTTGTGTGCTAATTTTCCTATATGGCCTAGTGGGTCAGCCTCCCCAGTTACCTCAGGTGGACACTCTTGGTATACCCCTTTGAGGTTTGTGTGTACAGCCTTATTGTGTTGATTGTTGTTGATATCACTGGTAGGAATTGACCTCCAGGCCAATTGGCTATGTGTATCAACTGTGTCTATGCCTGGAGACCTGTGCTGGAGACAGCCTTATAGTACTAGACTTGCAAAATTGCAAAAGTCTCTGTGCTCAGCTTGGATGGGGCAGAGTCTCAGGGATTAGCAGACAGTCGTCTTGTTTTCCTGTCAGCCCTGCCCTTGTATGCATGCCTCTAGATCTCTGCCTTCCACAGCTCCCCTGAGTTTTCATCTGACAGTCCAGATTCCCCCAGCCTCACCTGGAACTGGTATTCACTGCAATTGGAACTGGGATTCAGTGCAGTAAGAATCTTCCAACTCCTTTTCTCCCGGGAGAGCTAGCAGCAACCTCAGCAGTCAGTCTTCTACCTGTGAGTGTGAGCCTCTTGACCTCTGCTCACAGCAGCTTCCCCAAGTCTCAATTTGCCTTTCTCTCTACCTGAAAGTCCAGACTTACTCTGTATGAGCCTGGGTCCACGGGGTTTCACCTGGAACTGGGGATCAATGTTGTTGGAACTGGGGTTCAGTGCAGTCTCCTGCTACAGGCATTCAACTGCCCATACATCTCTGTGGGTGTGTTTCTGTACCTCAGTCCTTTGCAGATTCTCTGATTCTCCATGTGCTTTCCTCTTTCCTTCTAGTTGTAGAATTTCCACTCAGCCAACTTTCCTGTGGTTCTGGATGATGTCTGTTCCATCTTTTAGTTGTAGTTTTCAAATTGTAGTGCAAGGCAGCAGTTTAGATGTTTATCTATGCTGCCATCTTGGTTTCTCCTCCTGGATTTTTCTTTTTTTCTTTTTTTTTTTTTTTTACTTTTCCAATTGGGTGGTTTTTGCTTCTTTGTATTTCAAATATTTGACTTGATTCTTGTGATCCTCTAGTCTGCTGTTGGATCTCTGTATATTATTCTTTGTTTCAGTCAGTGTACACTTTATTTCTAATTGGTCCTTTTTCATATCCTTGAGGGTCTAACTAAATTTATCAGCCTTTTCTAGAAAATCATTGAAAAACCTTATAATCAGATACATGTGCCCAGATATTTTGGTTTTGAACTCTACATCTTTATAGTTTGCTTTCCTCAGTTTCTTTCATTTGTGATCTGTTTTTTTGTTTTTTTTTGTTTTTTTTTTTTTTTTTTCTCTTCATTTGGGTTGCTTCCTTGAGTTGATAGAGTGGCTTTGTGTGCTAGATGTCCTATAGGGCCCAAAGGCTCAGTCTCCCCAGTTACATGAGGTAGACACTCATGGTACACCCCTCTGTGGTCTGTGTGCACAGTCTTGTTTTAGTTAACCCTTGATTGTTGTTGATATTGTTGGAAGGAATTGATCTCCAGGCCAATTGGCTGTGAGGATCAGCTGTGTCTATGCTGGGACAAATTCTGTGCTGGAGACACCCTTATGAGGCAAGACTTGCTTTATTGGGGCTTTTGTGCTCACTGAGTCTGCCCTCTGAGTGTGTCCTTTATAGATCTGAGGAGTTGTAATCTGGATGGTCCTACTGTAACCCACTGGCTCTTGGGTGTCCAAGGAGATGCTAATTTGCAGATTCCTCTTCTTTGTTTGTATTTTGCAGGAGCCCAGATGAGGCCCAACTGTGAAGTCATGCAAGCTACTATGGGGCCTTGGGCCTTCTTTTGGATGTTCTGGTCTTTCTGACTCAGCTGCAGTTTATTAGGTAAATTTAAATTTCAAAGGACTAGTCCATTCATATGCAAAAGCCTCTTCACACATTTTTGGATGGCATGGAGTCTCAGGGTGGAGCAAACAGCAATGGTTTTCTGTCAGCCATGCCCTATGAGGCCTCTGGGTCTCAGTGTCCCTTGGTAATCACTTCACCTCTGAGAGAAAGCCGCTCTTGCATTCTGCCCACTGCCAGACAGTCCAGTTTATCCCCATATGAGTCTGAGTCCCAAGAGTTTTTCCTGAAACTGGAGTTCAGAGCAGTTGGGAGCTTGCCTGCAGATTAAAAGCCAGTCGTATACTCAGTTGCTAGCCCTCTCTGTGTGCATGCCTCCATACCTGTGCACCATACTTTTGCAGTCCTCTGAGTCTCAGTGTGCTTTTCTCTTCCCTTCTAGTTGTAGAATTTCCACTTAGGCAGTCTTCATGTGGCTCTGGATGATGTCTGTTTTGCCTTTTAGTTGTAGTTTTGAAGTGGTTGTAGGAGCCTGCAAATTCAGGTGTTTACCTATGCTGCCATCTTGGTTTCTCTGCAATAAAAAAAAAATTATAAAAAGAATATATATGTGAGAAAGGAAGTAACAAAATTTTAATTATTTGCAGATAATATGAGTGTCTATTTAGAAAACCCAGTGACATATAATGTCAATCTCATAGAAACAGTAATGTAGCTCAGTAAGGTGGGCAGATATATCATTATGTATTTATCAAAGCTAAGGTGGTTATAAGATAAAATGCAGATTTATGTGAAAGAAATGCCTCTTAGATTGCTCAACTGCAATAATATGTATGTTTTAAAATTCTTTCATTAATACTAGTAACAAATGACATGAAAATATGGTAGAGGACATAATTCCCATAACAAAATTGGAAATAAAACACTAGGAATAAAGTTAACAAGAAATAGACATGATCTTCATTAGATCAAAACTTTACCAAATGGCATTTTAAAAAATTGAAATAAAAATACAACATACCAGATTTCTGGATAGAAAAAGTCAGTATTCTAAAAATGTTTAATTCTCACTAAGGTAACCTTTTCATTCATTTAAATTCCAATCAAATTGTCATATGATTTATTTTTACTTGAAAAAATTGATTCTAAAGTACAATTGAAAGAATGAGAGACTAGCTAAGAAAAACTAGAAATAAATGAATGATAAAATATAGAAAGTCTAGAAACAAACCCATATATCAATTCAAATTAATATTTCCTCCTTTTTATAATCTTACAGTGGGAAAGGTCTTTTTAAGAAAAACACAAAATCCAGAAATCTTGTAACCTTGACAATTCTGACAAGAAAAATACTTAAAATTTTGGTCTAGTGGAAGACCATGTACTAAATTGAAAGATAAATAACAAAGTAAGAAAGTATTGACAGAGTATATTGACAAAGAGTTACAATCATCAATGTAAATATCATAATAGAAAAAAATGGGCAAAAAATGGGAATGAACTAAAGTGGGTCAAATGACTTCAATTCTAAAATTTCTCTTACAAGTAATGCTTGCAAAAAATAAAAACATGCTTGTGTAAGTGCATAGAAATGTACTAGTATGTACTGAATATTTGGTACAATTTAGTTTGTATTAGTGAAGACTGAATATGTACACATGTCCACTACTTAAAGATTGGTTAAATTAATCATGATACATCTTTAGTTAGTAAGTATGTAGTCATTAAAATTATGAGATAGATTTATACAAACTGAAAAGGGATCCCTTAAACTTAGGTTGCAAACAGTATACATTATATTGGTAAGCATTTGTTTAGAGTCATAGTTGATGTTTTATTTTTACATTTTTTAAATATATAACTCTATTACCTATTCAGAATGTTGGTTAGATTAACATCTGCAAAAAATACATGTGAAGAATGGCTGACCTTTGGGGTCAGTAGATATATTTAGAGTTTCCTATGAGCTAATAAAACAACAGTAAGACATAAGCACTGCCAGCTACACTGTGGCAAATTCATGGCCCCTTTTTTAGTAGGCCCTTCTGCCATGTGAGTTCCCCAGACTGGATACATGTGTCCAGGTACTGTGGTTTCTTAGAAATCAGATAAGCTTTGCAAACAGATAGGCAATGCCTGTGAAAATATCCAAGACATTAGAGGTTACTTTCAGTTTTTATTACTATAGAGCATAACTTCTCAAACTGTGAAAGGCTCACAAATCCCCAGTGTGTTGGTAAAATATCCATTCTATTCTTCTAGATCTGAGATGGGTCCTGAGATATTGCATTTCTAACAAGTGTACTGTTAGAGACCACATTTTGAATAGCAAGGTTATAGAATTTCCTATAAGGGAGTCTTATTTTACCTATGAAATTTATTTTTAAGTTGTTTGAATTATATTGTGGTGTTAATCCATGGAGAAAAAACAAAAATTACATGGATTGATAAAAATTCATAATCCTATAGAATAAAGAAGTAATATGCAAATTGACCATCATGCTGTTACAAGATGGCTGCTTACAACCAGGCCAGCAGGGGGGGTTAGTGAGGGATGACTAAACGACTGAACAAGCAGGCTGTGTGGGGCTACCAGGCCAGCAGGGAGGGTTAGTGAGGGAAGACCAAAGGACTGAACAAGGAGGCTGTGTGGGGTGATGAGGCCTGCAGGGTGTTAGGATGACCAAACGACTGAACATCAGGCTGTGTGGGGCGACCAGTGGGACTATGAGGGGAGATGAGGCTGGCAGGGGGAGCAGTAGGGGGCCATTAGGCTGGCAGGGGGAAGTTGGGGGTGAACAGGCCAGCAGGAGGGGTGCAGTAGGGTTGAGCAGGTGGCAGGGGGTGGAGCTGGGGGCAATTAGGCTGGCGGGGGGGGGGGGGGAAGTGAGGGGAAACTAGGCCAGCAAGAGAGGATATTGGGGGTGACCATTCTGGCGGGGGGGGGGGGGGCATTAAGGGGTGACCAGGCCAGTAGGGGGGGTAGTTAAGAGCAACCAGGCAGGCAGGCAGGTGAGCATTTAGGAGCCAGTGGTCCAGGATTTTGTGAGAGATCAGGCCTAAACCAGCAGTTGTTCCCAGATTGTAGAGGGTGCAGGCTGCCCTGAGGGTACCCCCCCTGCATGAATTTTATGCACTGAGCCTCTAGTTTATAAATATTTAATAATGCATACTATGGTAAGTATTATGCATATTTGGCTATTTGGAATGGCTAAAATTTATGGTTTGCCCATTCTTCTCCTCCTCTAAAGTTCAGAATTTTTAATGTTAAAGGACTTATAACTATACATCTTTGAAGAGTGAAACGAGTAGTCCTGACAAAATAATAATGATTCCAAATGACTTATCCAAGACTTCTACTTCAGCTATGAAATTAGTTCTCGAATTGATTGTTCCAAGGAAAGACATTTTCCTTCAAAACTTCTCAACAGAGGCAACCTCAATTATACAGGCAGGAACAGAAATAAGAGAAGTGACAACTACTAATTGTGACAGTAGGCCCCGTCTGCCCAAGAGATAAGGACTCTGGAGACAGACCAGGCCAGGGGGGAAAAGTTTAAAAAAATAAAGTCAGCCGTAACTCAGTGCCGGGAGTTCCTTTGGGGTGGGACATGCAGACCTCCCTCTGGATCGGGCTGGGAAATTGGGGTCATAAAAAACTGCAGCATCCTGCACTCCAGTTGGGAGTCAGAACAGACATTCTGTTTGAAGCAAAACAGGCCAGGTTGTGTAAATCACCTAAGGAACAGCTAAAGATGGCCAGTTCTTTGTCCTGAGGGGCCAATCAGAGAGTGACAGACCAACAGTGGGATGGGATGGGAAAAAGAGGTATAAGAGGAGGGACTGCCCCTCCATCTGGGCTCTTACCTGGGTGTTTGCCGGCTGCTGCATCAGCCAAGGTTTGAGCCCGGATTCGAATCTGTAATAAATTCTAGCATGCTTAATCAAATTGGCTCCGGTGGTTCATCTCTTGGGGACTCGCTTTGTAACACTAATAGAAACATGTCCCTTGAGTTTTTGTTGCTCATATTCATAGAGGAGATTAGTTACCCAAGATCACTCTCTGTCTCCTGCATGGCCTTCCTTATTCCTATATAAAGTAGAAAAGACTGGAAGTATTTTACTAACCATCAAGATTCCTTTTGCCTTTCATTTCCTTTGACTGAGCTCTTTACAATTCTGCAGAAATAGGATTATTGTGTGGAAAACTGGTAGCAACATATAAAGAAATCCTGTCCCTAGAAACTCAAATTCTGTCTGATAGAGGTTGGATTGACTTTCCTCAGCCTTTGTGGAAGCAGCAACTTTTGCATCTACTCTACTAAGCAAATTCATGTCAGCATTCCTAATGGCATGCATATATATATATATATATATATATATATATATACACACACACACATACTTTTTGGATTTTCCTTTGAACCAGTTGTAACACTTTTCTGGTTGCCTTATACATTAATGAGCAAATAAAATCATTCATGTTTATTTTATATTTGTCTGAGACTTATGACTTTATTCTCTTTTTTTATTGTTCATCAGGTTTTTTAATTTCCTTTTTTTAATTAATAAACTTTTATATTTTTAAGAATAAATTTTAAAATCTAATAATTTTAAACCTTGTTTTTTCTGCCCTGGGAACTGAGAAGCAAGCTTGTTTACATGTAAACTTGCCCTTGGGCTATCAAAAGGCATAGCCATTCAAATGTAAATGAACACATTGTTTAAAGAGTTGCTGGTTGGAATTGGATTACCTGTTCTGGGTGGGAAGGGCTTGTCCTCCCCTTTCTCCATTAAAATTAAGGTGTTAGCTTTAAAACCTCTTTTTGGCAAGAGATCTTAAACTTTCAGAACTTTAAATTTTTCAGGTATCAAATCAATTACTTAGCAGTTTCTCAAATCAATAATACCTTCACATTCCCAAGGATACGCTTCAAACAAAAGACATCCAAATAGATCAACCAACCTCATCCAGACCCCACACAAGGCACTCACAGATCAACACCCCAGCACTACAACTCAACACATCCAGATCTAAGCCTTCATCACTTGATTCAGCAGACCCTCAAGTTCCCCCCAAAGTTTCCAGCCATGTCTGAGAAGCAGCCATGGGGCATGGGCAGGCGAGGAGTGAGCTGCTCCTGACCTGGCAGCTCTGGGTCTGGCTGCTTCGGGCCCGGCTTCTGCTGCTTCAGGCCTGTCTGCTCCTGACCCAGTTGCTCTGGACCTGGCTGCTCCAGGCCTGGCTGCTCAAGGCCTAGCTGCTGCTGCTCTGGGCCCGTGGTCAGCCTGGCTGCTGTTGCTCCGGGCCTGGCTGCTGATGCTCCAGGCCCTGCTGCTCCGGGCCTGGCTATTCCAGACCCGACTGCCACTGCCCTGGGCCTGGCAGCCGCCACTCCAACATTCTGTTTTGTTTTGTTTTGTTTTGTTTTGTTTTGTTTTGTTTTAACGCATTTATGTTGCAATGTTGACTGATGAGTTGAATTCTGTCTTAATCTTCTATTTTTTAAGATCTTCTTTGTATTCTTTCTTAAGTAATTTTACTATCTTTTTGCTATAACTTGACTTCTTCACATTGAAAACTTCTTCGGTTTCTTCCTCATCATCCTGGAAGCTCAGCAGGCTGGTCCGCAGTGCTCCTTTGTTCTCCGTGACCTCCTGCGCAGCTTCAGCCTGTTGCCAGGGTTGGCGCCGCCAGGGAAGTAGCCCCTGGCCTCTGCTCCATGGCCCGCAGTCAGCAGTTGTGGGTCCAGCGGCACCTCCTCCCGGGGGGCCCTGCCACTCGGCTCCTTGCCGGCACCGGGTGGCAGCAGCCACAGCAGCGGCTCCCGTTCCTCATCTCGCTCTTCACAGTTCATGAGGTTCAGCATGCCTTCTCTCTCCTTCCTAAATGTCAGAGCCTCTTCTTAGCCAGCCGTCCGAAGCTTCAGGGGCGATGTTTCCCCTGTTTTCCAGTTCTAAATTCAAATTTGTTGTGAGCTTCAGGGGCGATGTTTCCCCTGTTTTCCAGTTCTAAATTCAAATTTGTTGTGGTAGGCTGCATTCGGGTGTCTACCCTATGCCACCATCTTGGTTTCTCCACTTTATTCTCTTTTAAAATCTATCCTTGAACATTCCCTATGATTAACACTTACATAACAGGCTCTCTTCATCTAATGCTTTCCAATCAACCACTGAAAATGGTCATCTATAGGATTGTTCTTCAGTTTTAGGAACAAAGTGTCTCCCACTGACTAAAGGATAATTTTAAAAGAAATGAACTTATTTAGTTATACATACAGGGTGTCCCAAAATATGTATACCCACTTCAACAGCTGATAGCTCAATTTTGAAAACGAAATGCATTTTAATAAAAACTGCCCTTATAATTATTCAAAGAGTGTATATATTGTATATTTTGGGGAACACCCTATATATTCATTCACTGTATCTATTCATTTGAAAGTATTCATTGATTATCTACTGTATGCATAGCATGACTGGTTTCATGGGCATGTGATCTGTACAGTCTCACAAGGATCTGATGCTGTGTTGAATGATCTGTTATTGCCATCTTGAAATTCTTAATAATTTTTAAAGTCATTTTCAAATTATGTAGCAAATCCTGGCCCTGGGTAATACAAAATAAGTGCTAAACATGACTATTGCCCTTCAGGAAGGCAATGTCTAGAAAGGGAGAGAAAATTATATAAATGTGACTAACACATAATAGGACATGTAATTCATTATACTTTTGGAGAATAAAATGAATGGTACTGTCAATTATACTAGAGGGACCAGAAAAGTGCAAATTCCCTGAGGGAGACAGTCAGGTGAAGTAGGGCTTTTTTCAGGACTTTGTAGGATGCATAGGAAATTCCAGGCCCAAGGTTAGGGAGAGAGCATTTTAAGCATCAAGATCAGCAAGGGAAAATATTCAGAGCCTGGACAAACAAGCTACATGAAGACCAGTGGAGCAGTATTCTAACCAACAGGACAGAGGGTTGGAAGGGTAGACTGGGTTCATATTAGGAATGGTCTTACAAATCAAATTAGGCATTTGGACTGTATTCTGTAGGCAACAGGAAACCAAACAGTGGAAATGTTTTGGTTGGGGATTGGCTGCTTTTTATTTTTAACTAGAGGCCTGGTGCACAAAATTCGTGCATGGGGTGTGTGTCCCTCAGCCCAACCTTCACCCTCTCCAATCTGGGACCCCTTGGGGGATGTTCCACTTCCAGGCCTAAACAGGCAGTCGGACATCCCTCTCACAATCCTGGACTGCTAACTCCCAACTGCTCGCCTGCCTGCCTGATTGCCCCTAACTGCTTTTGCCTGCCAGCATGATTATCCCCTAATCACTTCCCTGCCAGCCTGATTGACACCTAACTGCTCTCCTGCAGGCCTGATCATCCCCAACTGCCCTCCCCTGACAGCCTGGTCACCTCCAAATGTCCTCCCCTATATATTCCCTCTTTATTATATAGGGTTTTTTCTTTAACATATTAGACAGTCCTAACTGGTTTGGCTCAGTGGATGGAGCAATGGCATGCAGACTCAAGGGTCCCAGGTTCAATTCCAGTCAAGGCCATGTACCTTGGTTGGGGGTACCTACCCAATGGGGACTGTGTAGAAGGCAGCTAATCGATATTTCTCTCTCATAGATGTTTCTGGCTCTGTCTTTCCCTTCCTCTCTATAAAACATCAATAAAATATATATTAAAAAAGAAACATTTAAGATTCCTCCATATCTGCCTGGATGGTGTGACTCAGTGGCTGAGAACTCAGGCTGGGCTGGGAGGGGATCTTCACGTGAGTGCAGGTGCCTCTGAGCCCCTAAGACCCCAGGATTGGGGCGTTGACCCAAACTGCTGCTTGGTACTGGAGCATTTCCAAGTGGCTGCAGGCAGGACGGGAATGTCTTCCCTCCACCCAGCCGCTTGGGGCCTGCACTCATAGGCTCTGAGTGGCCAAGGGGAGTTTTGGGACCCCTGCTGCTCAGGGCCTACGGCCCCCAGGCCAATCATCAAATTAACCACCATCTTTGTTGGGTTAGTTTGCATACTCACTCTGATTGGCTGTGGGAATAGAGAAGGTACAGTCAATTAGCGTTTTTCTCTTTCATGAGTGTAGAAAATGTGATTAGTATTATAGGCAAAATGACCCACACTGGTGTCAGGAGATACCTAAAGAAGGGCAATGGGGTAGCTATGAACTAATTATGTTGGCAGAAAGATGGAAAAGAGACTAATGAAACAGCTCAAAGGTGGCTGTTTAGATATTCATTGAATACATACTATATGCCAGGCACAGTAGTAGATGATAAGGTTTTAAAAAGTGTCTGCCTTCATAGTATATATCACCTAACTAGAAGCATTAATTAGGCTTAGGCTATGTGAAGGGGGAATTAGATTATGATGAAGCACACAAGAAGGCTCCTAACCCACACTTGCAGGTATGAAAGGCCTTTGGGGGAATGGCACCATCTAGCCTGAGTACCAAAGGTTGAGAAGAAATTAGCCAGGTGAATTGAAGGCCCTTGGTGCTCTGCTTGATACCCTTGACCTTGCCAGCAGGTGCACCCATCTCCCAGTTGCTATGAGCTGGCTGCTAACAAAGTTCACAGCTTTCATCTTCTTGGAAGATTTGCCCTCAGCCAAATGGGAGGCTAGGCTATGTGCCCATCCCCCAGCAGATTTTAGCCAATGACTGACACAGGGTTACAAAAGATTAGCCTCAAGATAAACCAGTTCTGTGGTGTAATCTGTGCCTCTTAGCTTCCCCTCAAAATCCAGGTGAGGCTAGTCTCCAGATGAGACACAGAAAGCCCTTTGTGACCCAGCTCCCTACTCTGTTCTCATTCCCCCCCTCTATTCTCTACTTAATGCTTTCCACTTTGGTTAAACTAAGCTATTCATAGTTCCTGTTTCTTCACTATGTGGTCTCATGCCCCTGACTGACTTTTATTAAAACAAATTTTCCACCTTTCTTGGCCTGGTCAACTTATCTCAAGTATCACATCCTTCAGGAAGCATTCTCTGAACCTGGAGGAACACTAGGAATCCCTGCTCTGAGCTCCTATCACTCTCTATTCATTGCACAAAGATTCATGCACTAGGCCTTCCTTCCCTTGGTTGCCAGCACCAGTTTTTATCCAGCACCCAGGACCCAGGCCTTTGCTTTGGCAGGAGCCTTCAATCTTCACTTTAGCCACAGGCCGCTCCTATAGCTCCCTCCGCTCCCCTCCCTCCCCCTTATAGCAGGTGTTAGGCCCCGCCTGGCCTCTCTGCGCTTGCATACATGCTGCCCAGAGACCCTAAGTGGCTGGGGGAGCGGGGACACTGCCATCTTTGTCAGGTTAATTTGCATATTTACTCCTGATTGGCTTGTGGGCATTGCAAAATGACAGTGAATTTGCATATTTCTCTTTTATTAGTGTAGATCATATTAAAACTGTCTGTGTGCATATCTGCCTCACATAGTGCAAATTTCCCAAGGCCTGGACCTCTTTCTTGTTCAATTTTGCTATTCTAGTTTGTAACACATGGCAAGGGGTTCACAAATGTCTACTGACCATATAATGTCTCATTTTTTATCCCAACACAGTCCAACACTGAGTGAAGATGAAAGATGTGGAAGGAAGAAGGGATGAGATGGTCCAATTACTATACCAGGCCATTAATCCCAGACAGCTAATAGGTATTGATCCTATGGTTCTGGCAAGAGAGAAATGCCCTCTTCCTGCAGTTTGGGTCATGGCAGGGTACATGGAAGGAACCTTGGAATTCTTCTAAATCTATTGTCTCCTAACAAGATCTAATGAAATCCACAATAAGACTGATTAGTCTAAGAGAAAGGAATGTTGGATTTCTTTGATTTTTATGGGAACTGTGACATTTCATCGTGGGAATGCTAAGGCACAGTGATAATAATAATAATAATAATAATCCTAAGTCAGCAACACTATATGCCTTGGTCAAAGACAATTAGAGAAAGGAAATATTAGGTAAGAACTATGATTTTAGAGACTAGATATTTGTAAACATGCAATTTAGCACAGCCTTGTGACAACCAGACTTGGCACATACAGTTTCAACATACTGGGGATCCATCCTGTGATCAGTAATTTCATGGAGTCAGGTATTGCATTGCACTAAAAAGCTTGGTAACAGTGACATCTGTACTACACAAGCCCTTCTTATTCTCAATTCAAAGTTACCTACCAAGTGTCTTTGTGGAATTAATTTTAAAAACAGCCACACCTGTATTTCACACAGAGGAAAGAAAATGCCTGTCAGTGTTACCACAGTGATGATGTAGCATAATGCAATATAGAGCTTATTTTAGCCACAAAATTTGTTTTAATAATGTGGACAAAAGGGGCCACATGCTGACATGACAAGCTCAGGGGAGGCCTGCATATCAGTCTTGCAAACTCAGAGATCTAAAATAACCACAAAGGATGGTCTGAAATTAAACTTTAAAGAAATGTACTTATGGTGGGCAGTTACATCCTAGGCCAGTATCTTACTGACAAGGTCAAGCCTATCTGTATTTTTTGCACCTATGATAACATACCCTTGAAATGCCTGGGTAACTTGTAACTTCCTTTTTTCTGAAGCCCCTGGGGCACAACCAAATGTTGTAGGCACTTGGACAGATACCACAAATTCTTTCATTATTATGTTAATTGTTCCTGCACCCACCTAAGTATATGTCCATCATTTTACTTCTTATCCAATCTCCTGTTTCTCCCCCACCCCTGTTTTGCTTTATCTCACCCCCTTAATCTATCACCAATGAATTTCATGTAAACCTCCTATGTCCCTCCTTTGTTTGCAATGTATAAATACAAATGTAACCCGACATTCTCCGAAGCATTAACTCAATTCGTTGAGGTTCTGCTTCCTGGCATACATTGACAGTTTGGCTCAAATAAACTCACAAAAATTCTTTACAGGTTTCAATGTTTTTTTGTTTTGTTTTGTTTTGTTTTGTTTTGTTTTCGTTAACAATGGTTTTAAAATGACTTTTGTCCTGTATTTCAGAAACATCAAGGCTATGACAAGGTCATATGAATATGCCTACTATACTTTATTACATTTAATGAGAAAAAGTATATGCAACACTGTCTTGTGATAGAGGATTGGATAAAGGAGATGTACGTGTTACACCCAGACTTCGTGATCTCCAAAGACCACCAGGGAGCCGAGTCCGATGCAATAAACAAAAGAGCCTCTTCCATGCTAGCATGGGCTCTGTCCCACTCACACCTACAGCATGGCAGAAGAGAGGCCGAACTTCGACAGGTCAAGGGGTTTTATAGGGGTGGTGATATCACTGCTTTGGCTGACTTTGATTGGTTGGGTGAGGGCTAGGGTCCAGTTACACAAAATGGAGGATAGCTCTGCCCTGCTCCACCTTGCCCCACAGTACAAAATGGAGTCAGGAGTTAACCTCTCCCCACCCTACCCTCTCAGTACATACACACAATGGAATACTACTCGGCCATAAGAAAGGATGAAATAGCACCATTTGCAACAACATGAATGGACCTTGAGAACATTATGTAAAGAGAAGTAAGTCAGACAGAGAAAGCTAAGAGCCATATAATTTCACTTATATGTGTGACATAAAACTGAAGCTTATGAACAAAAATAGCAGAGTAGTGGTTGCCAGAGAGAAGGGGATGGGGGATAAGGGAGTCATGATATGAAGTGACAGGAGAAGATTTGACTTTGGGTGGTGGCAACATGGTGCAATATAAAGATCTTGTAACATAAAAATCAACACATGAAACCTATATGTTCATGTTTACCAATGTCAGCCCAATCAATTTAATAAATAACATTTAAAGTTTTTTCATATTGACCTTTTTATCTCATGTAGTAGTGATACAAGATAAGAAATAGCCTCACTTTTCAGAAAATACACCTTTTTGTATCTAAGCTTGATGAAAGGCAATGTTTTCAGATAATAATGAGTGTGAGACCTGGAGCTCCATGGCATCAGTGCACCAGCTCATTCTCTCTCTTAATGACCTTGCCAAGCTCAGGTAGCCAGTTGCAGTTCTGTTCCTGCTCCATGAGGAAGTCCACACTCTGCCATACCAGCTCCTGATCTGAGGGCTTGATGTGCTCATAATAAGAAAGAAGCATCTAGAGTAGGGGTGTCGAACTCAATCAGAGAAGGGGCCAAAATCTAAAATCCAGCCTAAATCGCGGGCCGAATGGTTTACTGAACAGTCATAAACTGTCATTGTGATGGAAACGCAGCGGAGTGCAGTGATGACAGCGCGGTGCGGGCCACATTGCAAGGCCTGGCTGGACGGATTTGGCCCGCGGGCCTTGTGTTTGACACATGTGATCTAGAGAATAGATAATAGGCTATGAGCTATCCCTATACTGACAAGCAAAGCATAATAAATACACAGTTTAATTTGTGTAAAGACAATCATCTATATATATATAAAAGCCTAACCAACTTCCTGACCAGCTGATGGCCAGTAGCTATATGTGCACTGACCACCAGAGGGCAGATACTCAACACAGGAGCAGAAACCACAGGCATGGAAACATGGAACAGACTGATGAATCTTAGAGGGAAGGGGGAAGTAGAGAGGGCAGAAAGATATTAACCAAAGATCTTATATGCATACTAGAGGCCCGGTGCCATGCACAGGTGGGGTCCCTCAGCCTGGCCTGGGGGGATTGGGCCTAAATCTGCTCTTTGACATCTAGAAAGGGGTTCCGTATTGTGAGAGGGTGCAGGCCAGGCTGAGGGACCCCACCAGTGCACAAATCTTTGTACCAGGCCTCTAGTAGTATAAATAAAAAGAATAGCAAATTACTTCCAAGCACACATCCTATCTAATAAAAGAGTAATATGCAAATTAACCATCACTCCACTATACCCACCAGCCCACCAGAGTGAATATGCAAATTAACCCCAACCAAGATGGCTGTGGCCACAGAGAGCAGGAGGGAGGCTTGGGTTTCCCTGGCAATAAAGGAAGCCAAGCTTTCTATGCACCCTGATGGGCCCAGGCCTCCACTCAAGGGTACAAAGTTTCAATTATAGAAGGTACATAAATTCCAACAGAAATGGCTACCACCACAGAGTGAGCAGGAGGCTTGGCTCCACTCCAGGCTATAAAGTTTCAATTGTAGAAGATAAATAAATTCCAGATACCAGGGCCTCCACTTGGGTTGCCGGGGGCATGGCTGACCTGCAAACCACCACAGGCCCCTCACCCAGGCCGCTCCACACCTCAAGAGAACCCCCACCCTGAGCAAAACTGACTAGAGCTGTAAATAGTTTTATTAAAACACACCATGGTCATTCATTGATCTATTGTCTATGGCTGCTTTTGTGCAACAATGGTGGAGTTGAATTTGTGAAAGAGACTATAGAGCCCAAAAAGCCTAAAATACATATTATTTATTCTTTTAAAAAATAGTTCAGCTCTAGCTGGTTTGGCTCAGTAGATAGAGTGCTGCCTGAGGACTGAGGGGTCCTGGGTCTGATTCTGGTCCAGAACACATTCCTTGGTTTTAGGCTTGATCCCCGGTCCTGCAACCAATCAACGTGTCTCTCTCACATCCATATTTCTCTCTCTGTCTCTCCCCTTTCCTTTCACTGTCTCTAAAAAATCAATGGAAAAAATATCCTTAGATGAGTATTAACAAAATAATAAATAAATAAACAAGTAAATAAATAAATAAATAAATAAAAAGTTCAGTAATATTTTAGAGAAAATATTTTTAAATTGTAATTAACTTATTGATAGTTTTTATGAAAATGCTCTTAAAGTGCTTGAAAATAATTTGTTCTTGGTATCCTAAATATTCCTTCCTTCCTTCATTTATTATTCATTCAACACATAAGAATTAAGCATCTACTATGTGCCAGATACTGTTTAGGGGCTGAATGAATATAGATCAGTGAACAAAACAGACGAAATCCTTTCTTTATTGATCAAAGTAGCGAGTTGGTAGATGAATGCCCCAGCTTTGGCTGGGACAATTCTGATGCATGTTCTATAAAATCTAAGAATCCCCAGTGGTACTTAGTCTCAGTTATCCACAATTGCTCATTACTACATACTCTCTTAACTTATTTGTCTACCCTGTCTCACTACCTCATTATTCTACCAACACTTTCTCTGATCATCTCCCAATTAAACCATTTACATCTTGTCTCAAGGACTGATTCCAAGGAAAGTTGGACAGGAACTTAAAATTTCTTTTAGAAAAACCTCAGAGAACTGCTGATCTATAGCTCATAGTTTATCAGCCATTTATTCATTAATTTGGGTACCCTCATTTTGTACAGGCTCCTGGTAAAGGTCACAAAGATAAAAGAAAGGCCTTATCTTGAAGGTACACAGAGCCCATTAAGGCAGTTGGACAGGTAAGTGACTAATTATACAGTCCATGTAATAAGGGTTCCAATAGAAATGTGGCAGGGTAACATGATAAGAGCTAATTTTGCTTCACTGCAAAACCTGAACTGGTGAACATTTCTCTAGAGAAGGTTCAATGAACCCATTTTCCCAAAGCACAAAATTTCTCAACAGATCAAATGATGTTTGAACAGAGTCTTGAAGTCTGGGTATAAGTATTACAGATAGATAAAGGGGTTAGAGGAAGTCAGACATTCTAAGTAAAAGAAGCAGGCACAAAGATTAAGATTTGAGAATATTTTGCTTATAGTATACTATGCTGGACAGAACTAGCAAGGGGGAGAAATAAAGTCTGAGTTTGGATAAGGAGACAGGTGATCTACAGAAGGCCTTCCAAGTTATGCCCAGAGGTAAGAGAGTAACTAATTTTCAGTTACATGCTCCATATTCAGCAGTCTTTTATTAATCCACTAATATTAAAACTTGACAATGTTAATGGCTGAATCCTATTTCCCTGTGCGGAGGCACTATTTGCAATAGGTGTATAAACTGTTCACAAACTCAGCAAAATTAGGCCAATGAACTCACAATTTAGAATAAGGAAAGCAATTGTTAAAATAGCTACATTTACAGGTAGACTGGAAACAAAATTTAAACAAAATATTAAATTTTAATTTGTAAAATTGATCACTAATTGTTTTTAATGGTATTTTAATATATTTCTACTTAAATGAATAATGATGAGTTATTTCAAAAACAGATTTTCCAGTCTTTAGTCAATGCTGATATTAGAGACTCCATCTTTTGCCAGCACCTTCACTCACCCAAATATTCATATCTGTAGTAAGAATACATCAGAGGAAATGGTTTCCTCTTTTTCATGGCATATTGCTTTCCAGAGTTGAGAATTGCTTGGCAAATTGATTTGATCTGTGCTGGGGTCAGCACCTATGTAAGGAAATCAAGAAGCAGAAGTCAAATCACTATCTTTTTTTCCTTAGACACCGGATTTTCTTGCTTAAAAATCAAGGAGAATACCCCCCAAATATCTTTTCCTGGGTATATATAAGCTTTGCCAACCATAACTTTTTTTTTTTTAACCATTGATTCTCTCCTTGTCATTTATCTACCCTCTTGAGAAAATTTGCTCAGAAAAGAACAAAGACAGGTCCTAACCAATCGTGCTTTAACTCCTGGTACATAGTGCAGGTCTGACTCAGACAATGGACATTCACTTTGTGTCATTTAGACAGTGCTCATAAAGCCACAATTCTATGATAAGCTGCTGCCTGACAGACTCACTTGTGGCCTTTGGCATTCCTAAATGAAACCAAAGTCCAATAAGTACCAAAGCAAAATAGTTTTTTTTTTAAATATATATATTTTTATTGATTTCAGAGAGGAAGGGAGGAGAGAGAGATAGAAACATCAATGATAAGACAGAATCATTGATCGCTGCTTCCTTCACACCCCGTACTGGGGATCGAACCTGCAACCCAGGCATGTGCCATTGGCCGGAATCGAACCTGGGACCTTTCAGTCCGAAGGCTGACACTCTATCCCCTGAGTCAAGCTGGCTACGGTGCAAAATAACCTTTAATATCAAAATGATTCTGAATCAATTATAGCTAAAATGCAATGATTTGCAGTTGTTATTATTTATTTCAATCTAACCACATTAATTTTTAGGACTATAGAGATTAAAATGTTCTTAAGTCTACAAAGCACCAGTGAGTTTACTAGGATTACTAGAGGTCCAATGCACGAAATTTGTGCAAGGGTAGGCCTTTCTTCCTGACTGCTGGCTTCATGACTTCTTGGCCCTGCCCCCTGCCCACATACACCTTGGCCTGGTGCTGCCCCATCTGCCACCACACACCCCTGGTTCCACAGTTCCATGGAGCCTCCCCAATCAATTGCCCGAGAGAGGGTGTTCTGGGCCTCCCTCTTTGAGGAGATTGAGGAACTCCCCAATTGATCGCCCTTCTAGCTGGTGGCCTGGGCCTTCCTCTGTGGGGCAATCGTGGGGCAATGGCAGGGCCCCCATAACCAATCTCATTGTACCTGCCTTGGCTGGCCTGGCCCCACAGAGTGTCATAGCATAGTTGTCCAGACCATCGTTCTGTAGTTTGGCCATTTGGTTGATTTGCATATTATGCTTTTATTATTGTAGACACTCAGGTTTGCAATGTTTTCTGCCTCCCACTCTTCCTCTGGGCAGATCAGATGCTCTCTTTGGCACAATCCTGTGTCACCACAACTGTTTGGTGTAGCACTTACCACCTGGTGTATTATGTCTCTCTCTACTAAACAATCAGTTATTTGAGGGCAAAGACTATGGCATCTCATAGTTTTGGTTTCCTAACACAGAAACTAGAAGGGTCTTTGGTAACTGAAGAGTAAGTGCCATGTTTACTAGCATGAAAGACAGAGCCCTCCCTCCTCTCTTTCCTCTAATCTCACCAGTCCATCCTTCTTTCCCTTCCTTCCACAATTATTTCTTAAACCCTTACTATAAGACAGAAAAGGCTACTCTAGATGCTGGAGAAGTTTGGCCTTGGCCTGATTGATTGAATCTGGGATCAAGGAAAAAAGAGGGTATTGGATTTTTTCCCCACCTTTAATTTTTTAAAAAATAAGACTTTATTGTTCAGATTATTACAATTGTTCCTCTTTTTTTTCTCCCTATAGTTCCCCTCCACCTGGTTCCCACTCCACCCTATGCCCTTACCCCCCGACATTGTCCTCTTTGATAGGTGTTTAATTTTAGTCCAGTCTCTCCCCTTACCCCCACCCCCACATCCCCCAAGAATTGTCAGTCCACTTCCTTTATATGCCCCTGATTCTATTATATTCACTAGTTTATTCTGATCATCATATTTTTTATTCACTTGATTTTTAGATTTTCTTATTGATAGATATGTATTTGCTGTCACTTCGTTGTTCATAATTTTTATCTTTTATCATTTTTTTGTCCTCTTCTTAAAGAATACCCTTTAGTATTTAATATAATTCTGATTTGGTGGTGATGAACTCCTTTAGCTTGTTCTTGTCTGTGAGCTCTTTATCTGATCTTCAATTCTAAATGATAACTTTGCTGGATAGAATAATCTTGGTTGTAGGTTCTTGGTATTCATCACTTTGAATATTTTCTGCCACTCCCTGCTGGCCTGCATAGTTTCTGTTGAGAAATCAGCTGACAGTTGTATGGGTGCTCCCTTGTAGGCAATTAAATGTTTTTCTCTTGCGGCTTTTAATAGTCTCTCTGTCTTTTGCCCTTGGCATTTTAATTATGATGTGTCTTGGTGTGGTCCTCTTTGGATTCCTCCTGTTTTGGGTTCTGTGTGCTTCCTGGACTTGTAAGCCTATTTCTTCCATCAGGTAAGGGACATTTTCTGTCATTATTTCTTCAAATAGGTTTTCAGTATCTTGCTTTCTCTCTTTTTCTGGCACCCCCATAATTCTGATGTTGGTACACTTGAAGTTGTCCCAGAGGCTCCTTACAGTGTCTTCATATTTTTGGATTCTTTCTGCTTTTTGCTTTTCCAGTTGGGTGTTTTTTGCATTTCAAATTTTTGACTTGATTCTTTGTATTCTCTAGTCTGCTGTTAGATCTATGTATAATATTTTTTTATTTTAGCCAGTGTATGCTTAATTTCTAATTGGTCCATTTTCATATCTTTGAGGGTCTCACTAATTTTCTTGGAGGTTTTCTAGAAGATTCTTGAGTGACCTTATAACTGTGGTTTTGAACTCTATATTCTGTAGTTTGCTTCCCTCCATTTTGTTCATTTGTGACATGTTTCTTTGTCTCCACATTTTAGTTGCTTCTCTGAGTTGATGAAGTGGCTTTGTGTGCTAGGTGTCCTATAGGGCACAGTGGCTCAGCCTTCACAGTTACCTGAGGTGGACACTCTTGGTGCACCCCTTCATGGGCTGTGTGCAGTCTTGTTGTAGGTAAGCCTTGATTCCTCTTGGTATCACTGGGCAGAATTGATTCCCATTCCAATTGGCTGTGAGGATCAGTTGTGTCTACAATGGGAGAACTGCTGTGCTGGAAAAACCCTTATGGGGCAGGACTTGCTTCAGTGGGGCTTTAGTGCTCACTGAGTCTTCCCTCTGAGCATGTCTCTATGGATCTGAAGAGTTGTAATCTGGTATGGTCTCACTATTACCACTGGGTGCACTGGTTCTTGGATCTCCAAGGAGGTGCAAGGTCAGGCATTGCTCGAGGCCACCCAGCAGGAACTACAGAGATATCTGTAGATTCCTCATCTTAGTTTGGGGTTTGGAGGTGCCCAGATGAGGCGCAGATGTGAAACAATGCAGGCTGATGATGAGCCTTAGGCCTTCTTTTGGAAGATCTGGGGTTCTTTGACCCAGCTGCGGTTTGTTATGTTAGGTTGCAAAAGGCCAGGCCATTCATATGCAAATGCCTCTGCACACAGCCTGGATTGGGTTGTAAATTGGGTGGGCTGTGGTTTCAGAAAATCATGGGCAGTGCAAACAGCAATGGTTGCCAGTTGGCCCTGCCCCAGATAGGTCCCTGGATCTCTGTGTCTGCAGCCCTATGCAGAAACAATGAACACTGCAACCACCTCTGAGAGAAAGCCACCCTTGTGTTCCGACCTGATGCCAGACAGTCCAGTTTCTCCCTGTATGAGTCTGAGTCCCCAGAGTCTCAGCTGGTACTGGAATTCAAAGCAGTCAGGAGTTTGTATCTCCCTCCCAATTGAAAAAGACAGCATAGCCAGTTGCCAGCCCGTTTCCATGTGCACCTCCATACCTTTGCTCTTCCTCACCTCTGCACCTCCTACCAATATAGATGCACTTTTCTCTTTCCTTCTTGTTGTAGAACTTCCATTCATCCAGCTTTCCCATGGTTCTAGATAATATGTTTTTTTCTTTTAGCTGTAGTTTTGATGTGGTTGTGCTAGACAGCAAGTTCAGGTGTTTACTTATGCTGTCATCTTGGTTCCTCTGTATTGGACTTTTTACCTCTCTCCTAAGACATCAAATTTTATTTTCCTGCCTGCTTTCTGCTATTAGACTCACTAATTCCATTTGAAATGAAATACTAATGACTTCTTAATTCATAACTTTCTCCTCTGATTTACCCAACATTAGAAGGGTAAGATATAATCTAGGTTTGGGCTTCCTGAAATCTAGTATTTAATTTGGAAAAGTAATTACATAAAGTGAAAGCTGTTCATTAATTAATTCTGGCAATGAACATTTACTGAGCTACTATTTCAGTAAGACCCCGTGCTAGGTATTCTAGGGGAAAATCTAGAAAACCTAGGACAAATTTTTTTTTTTTTTTTTTTTTTTTTTACAGGGAACATACTAATCAGCACTGGAGAGGAAAAATAGAAAGAACAATTAAAGTTCATGAGCTTAGTGATGGAGAGAAACAGTATTTTAGAGTATAGCATGCAGACAATGAAGCACTGCTCAGCTTGGCTAGTATTTTAATGTCTGCTTGTTTTCCAACTTGTTGCTCAGAAACAATTTTAAAAAAATATATATATTTCATTGATTTTTGTACAGAGAGGAAGGAAGAGAGATAGAGAGTTAGAAACATCAATGAGAGAGAGTCATTGATCAGCTGCCTCTTGCACACCCCCTACTGGGGATATGAGCGCAACCAAGGTACATGCCCTTGACTGGAATCGAACCCGGGGCCCTTCAGTCCCCAAGCCGACGCTCTATCCATTGAGCCAAACCGGTCCCGGCCAGAAACAATTTTGTTGTGGTTTTCTTTACCTAAATTTTCCTTTTATTAGCTACCAATTTTGTCTCTTAGGTTTACTCCTCCTTTCTGCCAAAAATTCCCAAACACCCTACCTTCTCATGCATTCCCAGTATCATTTCAGGGTTCAATCTCAGGTCTTTTCTTAGCTGAAAAACAAATTTCTCCTAAATTATTTCCTACTCTGCATCATTTC